TCGCAATACTATGAAGTGCTTGAAGAAAATGAAGAAGGCCAAATATTAAAGTGCAAGAACTGTGGAAGAGTCTTAAATTTTCGTTTAGGGTGTACCACAGGCATTTTAAGGAGGCATATAAAGTATTGTGTTGAGGGTATTTATCCGCAAATTCGTCTTTAAGATTTTTCAACAATTTGTGTTATTTTAAAATTATTAGACGTATTTATGCTTCATGTTGTACTTTGTTATTAATTTATTATGCATGCCAATTTAGTTTTACTATTGATTTTTTATTTTACATTTTCGTCAAACACTTTAATAATTAGATTTCTATATTATATATACTACATATATTTATATAGCAATCCATAAGAGCAATTTATATATATACATACACATATGGTTTACAAGAAATTGCCTTAAATAAAAAAAATTAAAAAAAAGAAGCCCGGAAATAAAAAAGCCCGTTAGGCCCGCTAAGCCCACGAGCCCGGCCCATTTAGCCCAGGACCATATGGGCTTAGGCCCGTCACGGACTGGTCCTACTCGTTGAGCCTACGAAGCCCGGGACCGTGAAGCCCGGGACCGCTAAGCCCAGACCCATTTAGCCCGGCCCGTTTAGCCCATTTAGACCCGGCCCACCATAGAGCATTAAGCCCGAGCTCATAATAGAAGTTTGAGTAGTTAGAGAGGAACCTGAAAATTGAATATAACTGCGATTACATTTAAAAGTAATAAGAACATAAATACACAACATGTGTCAGAAACTCTTCAATGGAGAGAGAACTTCTCACTCCTCTAGAAGAACCAAGAAAATTGAGCCTCGAAAACTATAATGCACACAACATAACGCACATACAATGTATAAATGATTTGCCATTAAAGATAATTTTAAAAGCTAAAAGTATGGTTAACTCTACTAATATTTATCTCTCAAAAGAATTAGTACAATCTGGACATGTAAAACAACCAAGAAGAGCAACAATGACTATTGGCCTCAATGTCTTACTCATTTCTTGCTATATGAGAGTCAGTACAAGGCACGATATATCGACTAAACATGTTAAAAAGCATTGACTCATTTCTCGGCTGGCCTTCTCTACATAAGAAGCTCTCTACTTGGTAGAATTCCTGTACAAACCACAAAATTAAAAATAAGATATTCTAACTATAACAATGGAAGCTATGTCTAAATTACCAACAAAAAAAAGTGTATTATCAGTTGAAACATAAAGAAATTCAAATTTATCCTCCCGCAAGAATACCTTTTTGAACCAAAAATCTAAGTACACTGAATGAAACACATGAAAATAGATGTAAAACAAGGGAAAAAGATTACCCAGATGGAAGAATGGCAACAAAATGGTATAGAACTTAGAAAAAGAAAGACCAGTAAATAACACATGTAAAGCCACATATGAAAAAGAATATTTCTTGGTAAGCCGTGTGATTCAAATAAAAAGAGAGACAATGGACTAAGATATATTCAAGGAGCTTTATTTTTGGGTAATGTATTTCTATAATTCCTGGGTTTTATTCAACCACTTGAACACTAATCACAAAAAAAAATAAAAAAATAAAAAAATCAGCTCTCAATTTTGGTGAACGAAGAGAAGGATACAGGTCCAATCTCACTTTTGCTTTTTCTACAGTCATGGAGTATCCAGAGTCTTCATTCTTCTACTTCTTTTGGGTTTGGTAACCATCCTTTTTAGACCGAAGATTCTCTTTCTCTCTTTTCTTTCTCGCTTCTCTTCTATAGGGGGTTGTAGATTGATATCTTTTGTTAGATAATCCTATGTTAACCATCAAAAAAAATAAGCATCTTATATGAATTGGTATTTCTATAATAAGTACTCCAAGGCATAGCTCGTCAGTTTAATATCTCTCGACATGTACTTCCATAGTGATCTAGCCTAAAATCTCACTGCATGATAACTCTTATCAACTGCCTTCAAAAATAGGGATTATAATATATAACTCTGTTTGGTCGAGCTTACTCCATGTGAACTTTGTCCGGGGCGTGGGAAGCAACTGCAGGACCATAATTCTTCTATAAAATGTGCTTGTGGAAACTTGTTCTTTATATCAGAATGTGCCCTATACAAACTTTTCAAATATGGTGTAATCTTCACCTAATTTCGTAAGATTAAGAGCTTTCAGTCCTTCTACTTTAATATAAACTCTTTCACCTAATCCCCCGCATAAGCTCTTTTCAAAAAAACATACAGGTTAGATAACGCCATAAATATACGCAAGTTATAATAAAGAACCAAGTAGAATCTTGTTTAAATTATTCATTTAAGTGTGCTTATAAACACAATAACTGAGAGTTTCAGCAAATGAGCAACTTTTTTTCTACGGAACATATAGAAATTTTTTTGCGAAGCAGAATTTACAATTTGGAACTTTTTTTAGCGGCACATAATCAGGGCATAATCGGATAATATTAGTCATATTTCTCTTATTCTTTACGTGACCTGCATATATCAAACAACCTTAGGAATAGAGAAGAAGAAAACAAGGAACAATAGAGTTTAAGTGTTTTGTTGATACTAACCATCGAGCAGAACTATTCAGTAGTTAGAGCACTTGATTTACCTGAAGTACTTGATGTCGAACCTGGTTCAAGATAGTTCCAATTAAATGTTTGCGCATAGTAAACGAAGAAAAATAAATGGTCATAACAGATTTATAGGCTTACCCTTTTCAAAAATAGAAATAGGATGAATCACGTTTTTCCTTTTGTCAAGCACATTTAGTAGCGTAAAAACCTCACGATCAGCAGGGGCGTTCATGGTTTGGTTTGGGTCGGTTTTTTCTTAAAAAGAAACCAAACCAAGTAAGTCAATTTTTCAAATATTAGAACCAAACCAAACGAATTAAGTCGATTTTTTATCGATTCGGTTTTATCGGTTTTTGTCGGTTTTTCATTTTTTTCGATTATTTATCGGGTTTTTTCTTAAATATGAGACATACACTACCAAATCATATTCCGGCGACTATGTTTTCAACGTAACACTATCAAATCAATTGCTCTTTGAAAAATTTATCATTTACCAAGATATATTGATGAGATAATTGAATTAAATAGTGATGAATAATTTAAGTACTCAATTAAAAATCGATTATTTTTATCATGAAATAAATTCTTGTACTTGCAAAAGAAAACTACCAATCAAACTAGAATGTAAAGGAAAAGAATTAGATTATTATAATAGTAAAGAACTAGACTAAAATACAAATGACTAATATGTACGATAAAATTTTAGAAATTTTATATAAAAATACATATATGTAGGTGTTATAGTAATTTTAAATAGCTACTTTTATAGTCGGTTTGGTTCGGTTTTTTCGGTTATTTTTTTATTAAAACCAAAACCAAACCAAATCTGATCGGTTTTTAAAATTCAAAACCAAAATCAAACCAAACCTAAAAAGTATTAGTTTTTGGTCAGTTTAGTTCGGTTTTCGATTTGGTTTAATTTTTCGGGTTTTTATGAACACCCCCTATTTCAGAGTATACGAGGGATTAGGGAATGATTTTAGATGGATTGGGAAAAAAATATCCGTGCTTTCAGACACAATGTGGAGGACAAATGTTGCAACAACTTTACGTGCAGAGTAAAATGTTAAAAAATGTTTCTTCTGTCCTAAATAATTTTTTAATGAAAAAAACAAGATTAAATACAAACAAAAAGATTCTTAGAGGTCCCTGTTGAGATTTTGTTTTCGTTGATTTGACTAATAACAAAACAGTTTGGGACCCCTAGTGTTTGTTTTTTCTTGCAAAATACTTCTACTATATAGTTGTTGAGAATATGTGCTCATTCAGTAGGTACAACACTTTTATTGACCGAAGCTTACATGTAAACATAAATCTTAAGATAGTAAAATATTCAACATGTTTAAATGGTGTGAAGCTTCTTCGTTAAGATTATTGAACTTTGACGTTTATTAACGTCGTGCAGAAACTTAATGCGATCAATCTCACTGGATCACATGGCTTCTATCAGTCTGGTTTGGCCAGAGGCTGGGTTGGTTTAACGTTCTTTTGAGCAAAACTTTATGATGTATATATATTTTTAGTATAGTAGATACTGCTCGATGTAACTATTACGTGTCTTGTGGGTTTGTACTTTGTATATATTTGGAAGAATTAGATTTACTGTTACTAAAGTAGTATTTGTTCATTCTATACGTACTAGATTTACTGTTACTAAAGTGATTAATTCATTCTATATCTCATTATTTATTCCTTAGTGTTTTGTTCGACAAACAAAGTAAAGTCCGCTATGTCCACGGAAATGTGCATCGTAGTTTCTTTGTATCGCGAATAACAAATGTGGCACATAACTGTGGAACATTTAATGATCTAGAGCTTTGTCTAAAGCAATTTCTAAAAAATTGAGTATATCTATTTTGATAATGCAAATAGTAGCATTGCGCTTACAAAAAATCAAAGGCTCTAAATCACGAAGTGACTTCTGATTATCAAAATACCATTTGCTCAACTATCTCGCAGTCCACCGCGATAATTTATAGATACTTTAACTCTAAATTGTTTCAGCGATTTTTTTAATTAACTGTTCCAAATAACTTTAAAGGTGGAAAAAAAAACTTTTAAGCATCGGCTATGGCAATTGGGCCCGGGCTTTTTACATTGTCGTATTTACACATTTAGAGTTCAGATGTATCATATTATTTACGATTTAGTTGTCTTTGTGACATTTATGGTTATGCACAAGTTATTACTACAATAATCATCGATTGCGAGTTTTTAACCCCATCATATGTAGTTCAGAAGGAAAAATACATGCTTCATCCAACCCCTGTTTCTGAAAAAGGTAGGGCTACAAATTTACACTGATCATTTATGTTTCTACGCTTACTATTCACAAATATGTAATTGAAAATTATCTTAAACCAGGCTCAACATCATGAACTGCAAATGAATCATGTGTTTTAACCTCTAAAACAGTTACAACTAAAGGTTCGTATCACCATCACCCTTAGATGGTTTTATCATTTCTTCGGTCTGTTTCTTTTAAAGTTATTTGAAATATGCAGACCGTCTAAGGAATAAAAAAACTACGATTAATAATTAATCAACTACGTTCTGATTATGTTCTGTTAAAAAGGGTTCTAAATTGTAAATTCTGTCATGCGAAAATATTTGAGTATGAACCCTCGGATTTTGCTGTAGTAGTGGTACAGTGAGGTTATCCTCCCATCAAATGCCAGCTAAACTGAGAAATTTATATATGGGAAACAACGTAGAATCCAAGCACTTTCTAACGTACATCAGAACATATAATAATATGTTTGCCTTTATGTCGCCTGGTGTCAATTGTGACAAAGATTTACCCAACAGAAATCGTGGTATCTATACATTCAGGGTTCAAGAACAGATGTATCACTTGATAGCTGATTTATATCCCAGAGAAAGAGGGCCGATAAATTTGCAACTCTACTTTTATGATAATGCAAATGAGCTTGAAAATAGAATGGTTTGTTCAGATAAATTAAATGAAATAACAGTGAAGAAACTGATAGACATACAAAAGGATAATCCATAGTCAATGTTTCTGCGATCCTTAACGGACATGTCGAACTTGCAAAACGATCATATAGCACTAAAATGTGAAGCTGGATTGGACCAACGTGTATATAATATTCCTAATACTACTGAAATTGCAGCAATATGGGTTGATGAAAATGATGGTTCTGCTATTCATGCACCACATCTTCAAATTTATGCTCACAGTGACAGGACACAAATAGTGAACTATTATTTTGGGTGCTATGACCCTTTACAGTACCCGCTGTTATTTCCACATGGTCAAAGCGGGTGGTATTGTGGTATTAAAAAGCTCCCCAAACCAGAAAATATTCCTAGAAGTCGCACTCTTGAATTTGAACAATTGCCGAATATAAAAAATTTCACCTCTATTGATGGATATCTTGATGTGGAAGCTCAAATTCTACAAAAAGGAAAACGCAAAAGCGATTTCGTTTCAGTTCGTGAATACTACTGTTATAAACTTCAGATGAGGAACGATGATGAAGATGAAATTTTGCATACCGGAAGGTTATTCCAGCAGTATCCAGTTGATGAACATATAAAATTGGAGACACAAAGGTTGGACTTTGTTTCGTTCAATCAAGATTTGTTCAGAATGGGTATACTGCAAGGACTTCTTGATATCCTAAGACTTGGCGAACGAGATGCTTCCAATATTGGATGTCACGATCCCAAATACCGGTCGTGATGGCGCCTATCACAATACTAGGCAAGCCAACCAATCAATTAACCACAACCCTTTTTCCTTTAACAATAAGCCATTTTCTAACACAGGTTTTAAATACCAAATTTCATTATAAATTTCTAAAGCAACAGAAAATATGCGGAAGTCCAATAAACAGGAAACTACACAGCCCCATAAATCTGGTGTCACGAGTCTAGAGCCTCTAATACAAGTCTGAATACCTACTACATCAATAGTCTAGGAGAATGCGGAAAGAAAACAAGATAGGGAGGAGAAAATATGACTGCGGGCACCATGCAGCTGTCACGCCCCGAACCTGGGCCTGGACATAACACGGCACTCGGTGCTTGACTACATGTGACCGAGCAAACCAACTTGCTGGCTGAATCAACATGTGGTATCATAACATACTGAATGCGGAAGATAAACTAACACATGCTGATATACTGAAAGTCTAGATGATATAAATCAAAGTGCGAAAATACTAATACAATTCTCAAACATATTTGTAGCCAACATAGCTTAATATGAAAAGCCTGTGACTCTATCTAACTGTTACTCTAGTCTATGAAGCCTCTAATGAAATACTGAAAACACTGACTGTCAGAAAATACTGAAGACTGTAAGATAATGATAATGCCCCGAAAGAACTGGGGCTCACCAAATAGCTGGTATAAGAATCCTAGCACTCTGAATCGTCAACCTGTAAATCATTACCTGCATCGTGAGATGCAGGCCCAGAGCAAAAGGGACGTCAGTACATTTGAATTGCACTGGTATGTAAAGCAACTGAAAGAAAAATTGTAAATGCTGAAACTGAAACTAAGCTGATAACTGAGAATTGATAATTGGTGTTGAAATGATAACTATTGAAACAGAAACTGAAACGATAGCCGATAACTGATAACTAAATTGATAACTGATAACTGAACTGATAACTGAAATGATAACTGATAACTGAACTGAACAAAGGAAGTAAGGATATGAATACTCCCTCTTCTGAATGATGAACAACCTGTTTATCTGAATAAGCTGCGGCCTCGGGCCCAGTATATATATGCACAAGCTACAGCCTCAAGCCCAAGTATACGTATACATAACTACGATCTCAGGCCCAAAAATGCATAAAGCATAAACTACGGCCTCAGGCCCAAACATGCATAAAGCATAAACTACGGCCTCAGGCCCAAGTATGCATAAAGCATATAAACTACGGCCTCAGGCCCAAATACAGGTGTTCAACATTCAGGAACTGAGAATCAAACTGCAACACATGATAGTAAAATACTGAATCACACTGAGTTACATGATAATGGAATATAGGATCACACTGAGTTATATAATACTAGAATACTGAATAGGACTAGATTGAGACATGTATTCTTGAACTGATTATGAACACTGAAACTTCAACTG